GAAAGAAAGAAGGAAAGAAAGAAAGAAAGAAAGAAAGAAAGAAAGAAGGAAAGAAAGAAAGAAAGAAAGAAAGAAAGAAGGAAGGAAGGAAGGAAGGAAGGAAGGAAGGAAGGAAAGAAAGAAAGAAAGAAAGAAAGAAAGAAAGAAAGAAAGAAAGAAGGAGGGAAGGGAAAAGGAAAGAAGGAAAGAAGGAAAGAAGGAAAGAAGGAAAGAAGGAAAGAAAGAAAGAAAGAAAGAAAGAAAGAAAGAAAGAAAGAAAGAAAGAAAGAAAGAAAGAAAGAAAGAAAGAGGAAAACAAGGTGAATAAGCCATGGAGAGCAAGGCAGTAAGTAGGCAGTGCTCCTCCATGGCCTCTGCTGAGTTCCTGCCTTGGTTTCCCTCAATGATGGACTGTGATCAGGCCACAGAAGCCAGATAAACCCTTTCCTCCCCTAATTGCTTTCGATCTGTTTTATACAGCAATAGAAGCAAACTAAGACACACACAAATAAGTTTTTAAAAGTAACAAATACATATTCTATCATCTGCTTCCCATAAAAGCCTTGTGAGGAGCTTATGAATACTACAGATGGACACTTCAAAACTTAGGCAAAGTCATGCAGTTTATATAGTGACTCTTCTCACCTATCCTTCTCTACAATTAAAGACCATGGTCACAAAAGGAAATTTTACAAAAAAGATGAACTGCACTAGAGAGCCTAGGTAACCGTCTTTCATCAGGTGCCTATCTCTACACCTACAGTCTGGCAGTAAGTTCTCTGGGCAGCCACTAACTAGTTACAATCACGAAGCTGTAGTGCTACGAAAATATCTCCATTAAACTAAAGTTAGAAAGTAAATCTCCTTTATTCTACTTGTAATGGCCAGAAAACCATGTACAAGTTAGTCAAAAGTGCATATTATCTCACTGGGAAAGTGTCAGATTAGTAATGAGTTTTTCATGACTTAAAAGTCATTTCTAGAAGCAATCATATGCTCATAAAATCAGCTATTGTATACCCATTTATCCCAGAGTGGTGAAAATCACTAACTTACTACAAAATCCAATCTGGTGTGTACACACACAGAGAGACAATTCTGTGAAAATTCTAGTTAAACAGCTACTTGGGCTTTGTACTTCTGAACCCTCTGACCCTCACTGCCCCCGCCTACTTCCTTCAAGGAAGTATCCACTTTCCACAGTATCCACTTTGCCCACCTACTTTTCCTTTCAGGTCTAGCGAGGGTAGTGTGACCACTACAGCTCCATGAGAACACTGGCCTCTGTGGGCAAGGGCCTGGTTCACTCTTAAGCACCACACCGAAAGCAAACAAGAAAGACCAGCCCATTTCCTGACCTGCCTTCACTTTCCCTTGTCTCTACAAGTTGCCTTCCCCATTAGCATTTAACTTCACTGACTCAGCGAAGCCTTATTCAGTCGCCTCTAATCATATGTGGCAATCCACTGAGGGCCCCCACCTCCTCTAAACTTAGTGAGGAATGGATCAAGTATCTGAGACGTTTGTTTCTGTGCCTGGAGAAATAGCACACACTCTCTTCATTGGAAATAGTGAGACGCCCTCTCCGAAAAGGGGGATTTAACAAATAACATACAAGGGGTTTAAAGTGCTTTCTTAAGCACCAAATAACACCTGTCATTCAATGTTCAGGTTGGTGTTTTCTTCTGACTAAATACTTAAAACAATAGGGAAAGCCCTCAACTATTCCACAGCTTGGTGGCAACAGAACATAGGAGATGAGACGAAACTTCAGAAATGAATTCATTGTGGGGTCAAGTTCAGTAATTCTGGAGTCTTGTCTTGTCTTCTTAATGTTAAAAAAAAGCCAATTTCTATAAAGTAACACACCTGGGATTAAAAACCTCTAATGGCTACAAAATCAGAATAACACTGTATTTAAGGAGGAAAAAAAGAGAGAGAAACAAAAATTGTTTCTCTATAGGAACAACTGGAAACAAAAAGATGAAATGTACTGGAGAAAACCCTCCTTATAAAGTCATTAAGATAACACTTAAAAAAAAAAAAAAAAACTTCTATCTGTAACATTTCTGGCTTTTAACTTTGAAAGCTTGCCTGAAAAGGTTTTACTCACATATGTGTGTCAAACCGATATCCCAACTGAACACAACAAGAATTTTTAAGTATGTCTAACAGTTTGAAAAAAAAAAAAAAAAGTCAACTCCAGCACCATCACACTGGCCTCAGTCACCATCAGGAGCTGCCTAGTTCCAACTGTGGGAAGATATGGCCTCAGAGAAGGTCTAATAACTTTATTTTGGGGAATAATCAGAAATTTTACCATAAAGTTATAATAAGCCATACCAAAAAGAAAGAAAGCAAGGCTGTAGAGATGGCTCAGTGGCGAAGACAGCACACTGCTCTTCCAGAGAACCCGCGTTCAGTTCCCACTACCCACGTAAAACAGCTCAGCATCACCAGTAACTCCATCTCCAGGTGATCTGACACTTCTGGCCTCTGTGGGCACCTGTACTCAGGTGCATGCATACATGTACACACACGCGCACACATTTTTTAAAATAAACCTTTAAAAAGAAACAAAAATTCCGGAAAAACTGTATGCCTCCATGTGCTCCACCTACAGCTACAGCCTCATTTTCTCTCCTGACTGACTTCCCTAGAGTAAATATCCCTTTACTGAGCTTCTCCCCTCCACGTAAAAAGAATTCCACAGAACTTCCAAAGCACTCTATCAAACAGACTGAGCACCTACAGAATCCTAGAAGCCTATCAACCTAAAAGGCCAGTCGTACATTCTGGATATGGGTTGTAACATATAGCATTTACCCTAACATTTGGAAAACCCTCAGTTTGATCTTCAACACACGGAGGAAAAATGATTTGGGGTTTTATTTTCTTTTTAATTTTTTTTTTTTTTGACATGAGTTCACACAAGCACACAATTTAGTCTGTAATGCAGTAACAAGTGACCTAGACTCAAATTAGCAGGTGCAGGGGCAGTCTTGGGAAGTCACTTGATGGGAATGGCTATTAAGTAAAGTCCTCCACACCACCACCAAAAGAAGGCCGACATCCACGAACAGCAGACAAGAGCATTTAATAAATGTTGACCAAACACTACTCATCAACGGTCCCCAAACGCTCATCTCCTCTCGGTGTTCAATAGCATAAAAACGTTTCTTAACCATGACTGAATCAAATGCACGCTTTTCCTTTAGAGTACGTCAAGTATTTTGACACTACATCTCAAATGTTCACACACACACACACACACACACACACACATACACGCTCAAAAACAGCTAACTTCTTAAATTCAACCATCAGTCACCTGCAGGAAGAAAACGCCACCCTGGGAGTATTTTCAAGGGCAGAGAGCGACCACTGTAAACAGCTCTCACAAGTGTTTGTAGTTGACGGGTACAAAGTTCATTTCCTTTACTTTTTCTCGTAGGGAAAATTCTAATGTATCCCCACCGCTGACATATGTCCAAGAGTTACCATGAATGATTACATGTAATCTAAAGTTTTCTATAAAATGTCTGTGGTAAATATTTAATCAAAAATGCTTTAAATATCATCCAGTAAAACCTTTATCAGCTTGTGGAAAAGGAACTGTGAAAGCAATCTCAATGTGTTTACTGTCCTCTTATCTCGATCTCACATATCTAATCATAGGCTTTTAGTATTTCTAAGCCTTTTGAAAAACTTTATGCCTTTCACCTCCACCACAATCTCAATCAGGACTTCGTACGTTCAGCTCACACCACGTTAAAAGATCAAATGCTAAACTCCTAAAAATAGGGGTGCTGTGAGTGAGAGCAACACACAGCACCGCGCGTGTCGGCCAACGCAACTGCGTCTTCGAGGGGGCAGGGGCGCCGTGTACACATACAGTAGGAGCTCACATTCAGCAAAACCCAGGAGCGACGGATCAGGTGACTTCACCCTCGACACTTTCTGCCCGAAGCGGACGAGCAGCGGCCCCGGGGCTCCTCACCCCAGTCAGACAACCTGAGCCCAACACATGCAACCCTGGCCACGCACAACTGGCGCGAACGGGTCTGGCGGATCCAGGGGCTGCGGGAACCTGGCCTGCAGACTGCGGCTCCCACTGGGAAGGGTGTGTGTGTGTGTGTGTGCGCGCGCGCGCGTGTGTGTGTGTGCGTGTGCGTGTGTGTGCGTGCGTGGAGAGCCCGGCGACTCGGCAGCCAGGTGCCAGCGCTTCCCGCGTCCTCCGCCACCGCCGCGGGGCCCAGCGCGTCCCGCTCGTCCCTCTCTCCCCGGCCCGCGCTGGGCACCGAGGGCAGCGGCGCCCGCCGGGTGACCGACCTCGCCGGCCCCGGCTCAAGGCCGCCCCCTCGGGTCGGGGCGGACACCGCGGCAGGCACGCGGCGGCGGCGGGCAGGGGGCCGGGCCGCGCGTCCCCACGGCGGCCGCGAGAGCCGAGGCCCGCGGTCCCAGGCCGCGCGGCGGAGCGCTGGGCG